ATTTTATCATCTCTCATCATCCCAAAAAGTAGGGGACAAGAAGATGTTTTGAGAAATAGAACGACCACATTCACATAATTTTTATTATAGCATATTGTTATGATTGGTCTATTTTATTGTTAACTTTTTGTTGTTAATCTCTTACTGAGCCTAATTTATAAATTAAACTTTATCATAGGTATATACATATAGGAAAAAACAGTATGTAAAGGGTTCGGGACAATCCCCAGTTTCAGGCATCCACTGAGGGTCTTGGATAGTATCCCCCTTGGATAAGGGGCAGGGGATGGAGGGGCTGCCTAGTTGGCAAAACCAGAAGACAAACCCAGGCATCACAGTTCCCAATCTAGGTTACTCCAAGGTGCCACACAGATTCTTCTAATGCATTCAGGATCAAGTAACTTTAAAAGCAATTATAAGCTTATACTAAATCCAGGAGCTCCTCACATAAGGAATCGTAACTTAATGGTTAAAATCTAGGCTCTGGGCCAGACTCCTTTTACCATTTACTGGCCATGTAACCTTGGTTTAGGTTAAGTTCTCTTTATCCTGACTTCATCACCTAAAATGGAGATCACAAGCACCATATCTCACATTGTGAGAACAGACTCAGCATATGTGATGCTCTTAGAACAGAGCCCGGCCCGCATTACGATTCAATAAAGGTTAGCTGTCAATGATTTCCAACGTCGAAACCATGCCCACTTTTTTAAAGTGATGTACAAAGGCTCTGGACATTAAAGATGATCTAGTCGGCTGGGGTCCATTTCCTTTCTTCATAAAATCTTAAACGCCTCACTCTGGGTTTGGTGTGTCATTATCTAAACAGCCCTGAGATGGTTTTTCAAAGCTATGAAGTAATTACATAGGCACACAGAGGCAGCCAGAAATGAAAGTCACACAGCATTATGCTCTTCAAAGGCCCTTGCTGACACAACCAAACAATGCGGTGGTGCAAAGGACCAGTGCTGACTAAGGTGGAGGGTTTCATCAGCTCAGTACCCCTGTCTTCCAGTCAAACACGGAGCAGGGCCCAGTGTGCAAGGATGTGCTCACAGGTGCAGGAATGCTATTCCCCAAGAGGTGCTTCTGTTGTCCAGAGCTAAGATGCCCTCCACCCCAACCCCCTTAGTTTTTTTTTTTTCTTTTCTTTCTTTCTTTTTCTTTTTTTTTTTTCTTAAGTAACTCAGACAACTGCATACCAGTCAGTCCAAACATTTCTCAACTCCAATGACAGGTCGTTTGCTGGTCCATCATGGACACGAAGAAGATGGGGACTCTGCTCCACAAAGTCTGGCATTCCATGCAGAGCAAATGCCTAGACACTAACTCTTTGTGGACAGTAATATAGGAAAAGGTGTACTTTCATGCTAAATACAAATTGTATATTCATTCCAGAGTGCACAATCAATAAAATATGAAACTGTACTATGGATTTTGGTGCTAATAAACTCTTAAATTCCATTATGGTTTAATTATTAATCTACATACACACATTATAATAGCAACTTATACGCACTTGTATAATGAACAAAATAGAGTTCTAACATATTTCCACATCCTATTTAACAAGTTACATAATGACTACATTAATTTCGCTCTTATAGTGAATAGCTTTAAAAGTTTTTCCTAAATAAATTGTATTAATAGCTAGTGCAAAATATTGGCTAAAAAGGACAAAGGAATTTCAGAGCTTTGGGAGACAATATGGAATGCTAATATTTTGGAAACCAGAGACATGCTAACTTGAGATTCTGGGTGCCTGCCCAAAAGAGATACACTTAAATTCCCTTCTATCACTTTGAGCAAGGACTCAAAAAACACATCCAAAAGCTCTAAGCAAAAACAAAACAAAACAACAACAAAAAAAAACACAAAAAACTGGACTCTTGCAGAGGGTAGATATCAAACTGCAAACCATATAGAGTCACAGCCTTTAATGACCTTAAGTCCAAATATATTTGCCACTGACCAAAACAGTTTGAAGCAATTTCTACAGACTGTTTCCATGGAGATGCACACACTTTTAAAAACAGATTACATACAGAGCTCCCAAAGGATGTATACATGGGCATTAATTGCGACATGGCTTGTAACAGCAAATAAATGAGAGATATTCTAAATTTCCATCAACAGCAGTGCTAAACTGCGCTATATCCAGACAACGAAATTCCATTTGGGTGCTAGAAAGAATGAGGCAGATGCACAGGTATGGACATGGACTGTAGCGTACCGTGGAGAAAAAGCACGGGAACATGTTCCTTAGGGGCTACCTTTAGATCATCCAGAAGTACTTTACTCCACGTACCATTCTACACATCGTTCTGCAACTAGCTTTCTTCCTCCCAGACGTGTTTATACATGCAAAAAAAAAGTCTATAAATGACACTCAACCCAATCCCTGCCAGGCGGCACCTAAGAGGGTGGATTTTACTTTACAGACTTTGTTATATGAATTTTTTAAACAAAAGCGCATGGTCTAGGTTTTTCCATTTTTAAGTTAAAAATAACTTAATAAAAATCACTTCTGATGCTTGATGACCATATGAGAAGTGCCTTCGTGTTTCTCTCTTATCACCTCTATGAAATATACCTTCTTTGTACCAACCATACCCTTTTTAGGTCATGTGAGAGTTCTCACCCTCAAGAGAAAGTTCTTTCTCCCCGCCCCTCCCCCCAGTGCATAGGGATTTCTAGAGATCGTGAGATGTAAAGTTATTCTGGCATCACTAAAAATGACCTGAAATCAAGTGGTTTAAAAATACCATCAAAGCAGGGGTCTGTTCACTGTGACATTATTTGTTTTTTGTCAAGTTCTTCACCTCCAAGCTGCAACTCTACCTCCGTCACCGCCAGAGAGAGGCTATTCTGGTTTCTCTTCCCACAGACAGTTGGCTCTGTTTGTCCTCCCTGAAGCCATGAGACCTGCAGGCCCTCCGCTTTCCCACCGAGAGCCACTCCAGGGAGCAGCCTCTGCAGAAATCCCAGTTCCTGCTGTCGGCAATTATGGGAACTTGAGGGATGCTGCTCTCCTCCTCCATCCTTGAGGGTCCCATCAATAATTAAATATGAAAATATAAAAAACTTGGGGCACCCGGGTGGCTCAGTCGTTAAGCGTCTGCCTTCGGCTCAGGTCATGATCTCAGAGTCCTGGGATCAAGCCCCGCATCGGGCTCCCTGCTCAGTGGGAAGCCTGCTTCTCCCTCTCCCACTCCCCCCTGCCTGTGTTCCCTCTCTCGCTGTGTCTCTCTCTGTCAAATAAATAAATAAAATCTTAAAAAAAAAAAACTTTAAAAAAACCAATACTAAAAAATTAAAAAAATATATAAAAAACTTATTAAGAATCACAGTCTCAAAAATGCAATGCCACCGATCTCTGTCCTTTCAAATAGTAGAGCCATTCTTTGAAGGAAGACACGTTCTGATGGCTATTCTAGAAAGACATCAGTGTGACTGACAAGCCCAGTTCCAGAGACCACTGAAGTAGACTATTTGAAAATAGACTCAAAAACACTAACAGTGGTGATCGTTGGCTTAAATATTACAGAATCTTTCTAATATCCAAGTAAAAAGAGTACAATGGACACATGTCGACTGTGGAAGAACTTTTTAAGGGATTAAGAAGAGATATGAATTAAGACCCACATCAAGCTGACAAACCAGATCAAGTCCTTCCAACCACTGCTCTGGTATCTCCGTCTCATTGTCCTAGGGGACTTTCAAAACACCACTGGCGTCTTGGAAATAAAGAGAAATATTACCTCCCCTGGGAGAACCTCGACTCCCTGAGCTGAGCTAATTGCTCACTTTTCTGTATTCCCCCAGCACGCTTCTCTACTACTATTACTGTACTAAACATAGTACTTCTACTCCGAAATTCTCTATTCACACATCTCCTCCCCACCCCCCACTCAATTGCAAACCCCTCCAGGACAGGAAGAATAAATAATATATTGATTTTTGTGGTCCCATAATAGTACCTAAAATATTAGTTCTCAAGTTTCTTGAATGAATGAGAAGTATCCTCACTGTAAATTCATTTGAATATTTAATTAGGCACCGATGGTAAAGGGCTACCACCTGAAACCCGCTGGAGGTATCCATCATGTGTTTCAGAGAAGCTAAAGCCTCGTGGGACTGAGAGCAACCCCCCAAAACTCACCCCCAATACCCATGTTTTCCAGTGTTACCATGACGATGAACAGACAGTATACAAGCAGACCCAGAAAAATAAGTCAAAAAAAAAGAGGCAGGAGAGCTTCCCTGCCTGGGAATGAAAAGGAAAGCACCCCCCTTTGAACAGGGGTCTCCATGTTACAGGTGATGTCGTCTTTCTGACAATGGTGGTGGACAGGGGAGCTGCATTTTCTCTTTATACCTCTCACATGTTTTTATTCTAGTCACTGAAACTATTAAAAAGTTGCACAAGATTTCCCTTTGTTCATTGATTTAATAAACCCCCTTTTAAACACCTGCTATGTGCTAGGCACCATTCTGGTAGAGTTCCGACACGAACACGTCAGAGTCTCAAGGGGTTTGCCGTCCCACGTGGGAGACACACAGACACAACACAATAGGACACGACTTACACAAGGGATCCTTGTCCGATCATTCTCGCCGCTCCCCTCACCACGAGGGAATAAGGAAAACCTTAGGACAGACAACCCGTGTGAGGAGGGAAGGACGGCAACGAAACGCAGGGTTCCAGGCTCGGCAACCAGCACGTCATTAGCAGTGACCCACACCACACACCAGGCCCCCTCCCGCACAAGCCGTGCCTCCTTGTCTCTACTTTTCACTCCCCCTCCCACGTGTTTCATTATCTGGAGGACTGCCTGCAACTTCCAATATGGGGAATCCCACAGTTTTCTAGGAAGTTAAAACCGTGAGTCAGCTAAGCTCTGGTAACTTCAGCTATCGCTCCCCGTGAAGCCACCCAAGGGTAAGAGCCCACACGCTGCATTCGGTTCATGCTGGAAGCCGTCCCTCCATCTGCTTACCACGTGTGTTGGTCGCCATGTCAGCCACTTTCTGAAAGGCATCCAAGAAGGCAGCCGCTGCTACTACTGTGGTCCTAAAATGCAAACAGAGAACAAAAGCATGAGGATTGTCTCACGCAAGTTCATTACAGCTAAAGGGTTAACACCTCTGCAGGGAACGGAATGCAACCTTCTGGGAGAAACGACTCAACTGGACATGGACAGGCACAGGCTTGGCAGGCAGGCCCCCTTGTTTGCTCAGGAAGCATTTCTCCCCATATTAGCACTCTCTCCAGAAAATACCCAGCGCATTCGGGGCTGGTCGGTAATTGTGGGCAATTCCTCCCATCCCGTTCCACCTGATGACATAATTACTGGGCCAAATTTCACAAAGGAGGAAAGACAGGTGTTTCTAACCTAAAAGAAAAACATCATTAAAAACTAGAAATGGTACAGGTGAAATTAATTTTAGAGTTAGACAAACAGCATCTCTACGTGGACTGGGAGATGGAATCTTGGAGAGCGAGCCTCTGCTTCAAATACTTCATATTAGAATTGGGAAAATGGAGACAAGTTCAGAGTGACTTTCAAAAATCACCAGTTTGCCTGAGAACTGGAATGGATATAGCCTGGCAGGATGCACAGTCCCGTGCTCATCCCGCTGCAGGACAAGATCCTAGCCGTGTGACTTTTCCCTCTAAATCCCACTTATAATGAAACTGAGACTATTTTTTCAACCTGAGAATGCTATCTCAACTGCATCTTCTGAATTCCTTGAGACTGAGAAGTCGCTACAGTCATCTGCTGTCCTAGAAATTATTTTGAGTTCTTCACATCCTCTTGAGAACTCTGTGGTCTACCGGTTCCTAGCACTGTGATCCCAAGATGTCATCCAGTGAAGTTAGATAAGCCCCGCTCCCCACCAGGACCTGGGCCTACAACACACAAGACAGCCCCAGGACTCGCACACATGGACTTCACAATCCAGCGTGGAGCCTGAAGTGCATTTCCAAGTTTGTCACGTATGAATCTAGTCTTTGCTCAGCATTCCTAAGAACGCAAAGCTGTAGAAGGAAGAACATGAGAATAAGGACTAGAAAGGAAGTTCAAGATGGAACTAAAGAAAGGACGCTATACCTCAGCAACAGTAGCTCTGACACAGAAGGTTCTGAAAGGTGCTGGGAGTGGTCCCCAGGAAAACCCGGGCCACAGTCCCTTAGCACCAAACTGCAGAATGACGCCTGATATTGTCCAGTAGAGCAAGAAAATATTCTGCTCACATTAAAAAAAAAAAAAAAACACAAAACTGAAAGAAAAAAGCCCCTCTGAAGTGTATTTTTCAAAGAGCTGACATCAAATGCAAACCCTGGAAAAGTTAGCTTTATCAAACATCCTCGGATTTATAAATAATTCATTCTGATTGACGATTAATATCGGACACAATGGCTGGATTGATTCTCGTTCAAGTCAATGCTGATCATTCCAATTTAATGAGCCAGCTGTAGAGGTGCCTTGCTACACGGGCTCCCCTGAAAAGGAGGATGGTGGTCAAGTGTGAGGAATTATGAGCTTTTAACCACTGCCTTCCAGTGAGTCCTATTTCATTGTCTGCTGTTGTCATGAGACATCGTGGTTCTCTGACGGGGCTGAGCCAACACGCATGCGCCTGCAGCACTGAGCAAGGATTCAGCACACACACTCCAAGCTTATTCGCCTCTCCTACAGTCTTCTCATCCTTTCTTTACTTCCGAAAACTAAACCATGTGCCCGAGGCTCTCAGCTGGGTACTCCTAGTTTGACAAAATAAAGAAATAGTCCCTGTCCTCAGGAGGCCTCAATGTTGTGAATAAAATATATAAAATGTTCTTTGTACCAACAGGGATAAGATTGCTTTAAGTTTTGGGGCGCCTGGATGGCTCAGCTGGTTAAGCGGCCGACTCTTGACTTCAGCTCAGATCATAATCTCAAGGGTCCTGGGATCGAGCCCCCCTGTCAGACTCTGTGCTCAGCGGGGAATCAGCTTCAGGTCTCTCTCTCCCTCTGCCCCTCCCCCACGCTCTTTCTAAAATAAATAAATCTTTAAAAAAAAGATTGCTTTAAGTTTCATTGTAACTGATTAGCTGTGCTAAACAAATACTTCAAGTTTTAGCTTCCTCTTTGGTAAAAGGGAAAGAGAGGATCTTCTCCTTGGTCAACCCTGAAAGGTGGCCAGACAGTTAAATGAGGTCAGAAAAGAAAAGAGGCAGGGTGGTGGGGGAGGGGTACTCAAATGTTTTTCTGGTTTATTCCAGGAGGGACCACCTACAGGATGGAGGGTAGGTGTAGCTCCTTGCATTCAGACAGAGGAGGTTGGAGCTGGCCCAACAGAAAACCTTTAAAAGTTCCCCCTTTTTTAAAAAAGTCTGTACAAGTTCTTAGGCACCAAAATGGTAAAGGATTTGACAAGCAGAAAAGGGGCTATATGCCTGAGTCGACTGTCCATCTGGAAGACCACTCACAGCTTGGGAAATCCTAGGTTCATGGGATAGAAATCCCAGGCCCCACGAAGCTGACAGAATGGAAGAGGAAAGATCCTTCCTTCTGGAGTTCTTCTCTCCTGGTCTACAGGGGAGCCATGGATGTCCAGTCTTACAGCTAAAGCTCCTGACATCCATGGGTAAAGGACCAAGAGGTATGTCATCCATGTGGCTTTTTATCCTAGAAAACATCTACCTGCTTTGTCCTCTGGAAAACCACCTCCATACATCCAAACCAACTGATGTCATGCCCCATATGCCATGAACGGGAATCATGAAAATTATTGCTTTTTAAAATGTCCCATCCCTCATGGGGCACCCACCAAGTGGGTAGCCCTTCTCCCCACTAAAAGCATATAGCTGTAACAAGAAGATGCTGACAAATTTTCTATTTCATATCAAATGATACATGAGCAAGCACAAGACAAGGCAACAATAATAGCCCCTTAAAGCCGCTCAGCCCTAGATCTTGTTCTTTTTTAAGCAGCTTCATTGAGGCATAATTTGTATACCATAAGATTCACCCTTTTTGGGTGTGTGATTCAACAATTTTTTTAGTAAAGTTAGAATTTTGCAACCACTACCACAAGCCAATTTTAGAACACTTCCATCACCCCCAAAAGATTTCTCTTGCCCATTTGTACTCAATCTCCTGTTCCTCTCCTAGTCCCAGGCAACACTCATCTATATCTGTCTCTACAGATCTGCATTTTCTAGACATTTCACACACATGGAATTATACAATAGTCAACAGTGAGTTGTAAACTCTTTATAAAGATAGGCAGTGGGCAGAATGGACTACGCAGCCAGACTCAGGTTCAGATCCCTGCTCTGCCATTTACTAGCTGTGTGACATTGCAGCCAGACTCAGGTTCAGATCCCTGCTCTGCCATTTACTAGCTGTGTGACACTGGACAAGTTACTTAGCTGCTCGGCGCCTCAGTTCTTTCATCAGTAAATTGAGGATAATAACTGTACGATAATAGCTGTACTGGGGGTTGTGAGATCTAATTAATTTACCATAGGCCTGGCACATAGTGAGCATTACATAAATGTGGCTCATTATTACCTTACATATGATACCTCATTACCTTACATATGGTAACCCAAAATTCCTGTGGAAGCAGAGCAGACAGGAGTTCGGTTTTACGTATGGGAATCGGGGGGTCAGGAGGTAAGGCTAAGAAGTGGCGGTGCTCAAATTAGAACCCACTACATGCTTCTGTATCTGTAATGCTGCCAAAATTAACCTCGATCTGCATCCTGGGTCGGTCCTATTCCATCCTTTGTCTAAGGATGTTGCCATTTTTCTGGGGATGACATGCTTCTCTACTTACCGAAGCTGGGACTGTAGCTTTCCTGCTTTGTTTATGAAATCTTCCCACACTGGATAGCTCCCCTACAACAAAACAAAGTCATCAATCAGTAAGGCATGCTGTGATAGACATCTGATTAAGACAATAACAGAACACCCAATTCCCATTATACAGGGAACAATCTGTGTGTGCGCTCTTCCTCTGCAGTCTAGGATATGGTGCCCAGATTATATATAAATGCATTGGCTCCGAAATGGGTTTAGAACGTGCTCAGGCCCTGTTATCTTGTAAATACTACAAACGCCAACTGGAACATGTTTGGCAGAATCTAACACATACATGGATAGATCACTTTTTGAGTAACAGACGGTGGGTCCCAATCAAGATACGGAGAACATTTAAGGCTCTGACTGGAACCGCCCGACCCTGGCCACAGCTTTTCCCACCCTCATCCCCCAAGGGCAAGGAGGAGGGAACCAGAGTGATTGGCGCTCCTCCCCAGGACACTGACTGGACAGCCACGGGGAAGCATTACTAACGGATCAGAATCTCAAGGTTGAGAAGTTATCAAAGGGTAGCCACCCAGCTGATGGCTTGAACCCAGCACCTACACACGACATGACGACACGTGAATCCCCAGCACATTTCAGCTCACAGGGAACTCAACACCCTCCTGGGGGAGGCTCTGCCATCATGTCCTCTGTGTCCGTGTGGCACCAGCTTGAACCTTCTGGGGACCTCAAGGTGACGCCCAACCCCACTTCCGGGTGGAAGTCTTTTCAAAGAACTGAGAAAAACCAGCACATTCCTCCAGCTTTCCCTTCTCTCCCCATTTGTAGTTCATGTTCTACCCAGGTCCGTGTTTCGCATCCCTGAAGCGTCCTGGGGACACAGCAAGGCATCTATCCCCTTTTAAGGGTGGTACTCAGACACAAACTCAAAACTGCAGGTGCAATTCTGACCGGGGCAAACCAGAGTGGGGCGTGACACCTCCCTACACAGACACGTTCAACTGATATGAAGATCAAGGAGCCAAGCAAGAGGGGATGCAAAATAAACCCATCAAAGGAGAAGCCATGGCTAAAGAAGCAGAGTTTGGCACGGAATAGTTTACATACAGAGCTAAGACTCAACACCTGCGGGGTGATACTTGCCACCTCCTCAGTTGGCGGTTTAAGGAGCGGAGGGAGAAATTCTGCTGAAATTCATCATTTCATCTTCCATTAATTACAGAAGCCCACCAAAACAGGCTGCAACGGCAACTGAGCCAAAACATAATGATTTCATCTTCCTACTGATTTGAATGGTCTTAGTTTCTTACCCTGGCATACAGCTGCTCAACCTTGCCACCACTGACATTTCGGGCCAGAGGGTTCTTTTCTGTGGGGGACTGTCCTGTGTGGCCCTGTAGGGTGTTCAGCACCATCACTGACCTCAGCTTCACTAAATGCCAATAATAGGGGCGCCAGGGTAGCTCAGTCGGTTAAACGTCTGACTCTTGATTTCAGCTCAGGTCAGGATCTTAGGGTCCTGGGATCGAGCCCTGCGTCAGGCCCTGCACTCAGTGGGAAGTCGGCTTGAGGATTCTCTCTCTACCCCTCCCCCAGCTTGCACGAGCCCTCTCTCTTTCTCTAAAATAAATAAACAAATCTTTAGAACAAAAAACCACTGCTTTAAAGGGATGCTTGAGCCCCTCCCCCACACTGGGCTCCCTGCTCAGCGGGGAGTCGGCTTGTCCCTCTCCCCCTTCCCCTCCCCCTGCTCACTCTCTGTGTGTCTCTCTCTCTCTCAAATAAATAAATAAAATCTTTAAAAAATAAAGTAAAATAAAGGGATGCCTGAGAAACTAATTTCTTTTGGTCACCTGAAGTTCAGCAATTTCTTCAGTATTATTTCACTTAAGTTTCGATTCTCCTGTTAAAGTAAAACCAAATATATTTTTGTTTTACATCTTATCATAAAAAGTGCCTCTTTCTACATTTCTCTAGCTATCAAGTCTGTCTGAAAATGTGCAGAGAGATATCTGGAAAATTGTCTACCAAAGTTCAAATGGCCTATTTCTGGAAGCTGAGATTTGGACCAATGTGTTGCTTTCTGGTTTGTATTTTCTTATATGGCCATAGTTTTTTTGTTTTTTTGTTTTGTGTGTATGTGTTTTAATTAAGGGTCATGTATCATTTTTATGAAAACAATAGTCATCATTTTTTTTTAATTTTAAGATCAAACTAGAGGTTCTGGCAATAAGAGCACCATGAAGTTACAAACCGCCCAAAGCCTAAAGTCTGTTTCACAGATGCTGCTAGAGCACATCGACCAACTCTGCATCTGAGACCTGCTTGGCCCAACTGCAGGTCTCGGGATTTATTCCCCCAAGTGACAGTTGGCTCCTGTGGGGCGCTAAGCTGCACCAGGCCAGGCATCCTGTCTGACTGGCTCCTGGCAGAGGCCCTTTGGCAGCCACACCTGAGCTCCTGACACCAATATCCACACACAGGTCCTGTCACCACATTGCTAAGCCACACAGCCTCCATCTCGTCTTTGTGCCCCATGGGCTGCTTCTACCCAAGAGCATAACTTTAACTTAGGTTGAATGAATCCTTGACAGCTCAAGCTACCATTCCAGGCCCATCCAGACCTTGTGGGGGAGGCCAGTTATAACACCTAACGTATTTACCATTTTCTTATCAAGTATGAACACCCTTTCTACATCTATATCCAAGTAATTAAAGGGGCAAGGGCTGAGATCAGAGTTCTCTGGCTGGCCGTGACAGATCTCTGTCCACAGGGACATCGGCATACTTTAAGAGCACAAGAGTTCAACCAACAAATCACAGCCTCACCTTTTTTTCTTTTTCTTTTTCTTCTCCTTCAGATCCCCGAGAAAGTATGAGAAGCTTTTTGAAAAGCCTAAAGATGTTCAGACATACTGACCGCCAACTTCTAGCCAAAAGGTACCAGCATCACTCATCTACACAAAGGCGGCCATGACCGCCGGGCCCTCCTATCCCCAGCACCAACCGCTCCCTGCAGGGGCCCCTGTGAGAAGGTCACTGAGATGATCCAGAAGATTGAAGAAAAAGGTGACGCACATTCAATGACAACACGCCAGAAAGACAACAGGCCTGTGCAGGAAGCGCACAGTCCTGATTTCTAGCCATGGCTGCGCCAGCCAAGTATTAGGGAAAGTCACTTTACCTCTCAGGGCCCGCTCCTTATAAAGACAAACAATAAAAACAAATAATTCCATCACCATTACTGAACACGGACATCACTGAACACTAAAAGAATGGCGGGAAGGCATAAGGGGATAAGCCACTACTTCTCGGGGTTGGCGGGAGGGATAACGGAGATCAGACCTCAAAAGCGCTCAGTGCAGCGCCGGGCACTCTGTCAGTGTCCAATAAACACTGGACAGGACTGACCCAAGGGTTTGCAGGCCCCTGTAATCTCACTCACGCTACTGGCACAGATGTTAAAGCCTCGAAGTCAGACTGTCCGTCCAGGCTGGAATCCTGCATGCTAAGTGCAGAACCAGCTGCATCTCACAACTAGTTAACCAGCTGGGTGTAGGGAGTCAGACTAGTCTCTGCCGCTCTCCCTGGCACACGGCAGGAGGAGTACTCAGACCGACATGAATGTGCCTGAAATCAACTGCTCAAAGCACTTAAAAAAACAACTTGTCTGCCCCCACCACTTGGGAGCCTCGTTTCAGTCTTTACCAAATTAGCAACAAAAGGAGGGTCCCCTCTCTAGTCAAGGGGTGCAGCACACAGCTCTCCGCCCACGAACACCCACTCAGCCAGAAGAAGGCTGCCGAAAGCAGCTCTTTCCTGATTTAATGATATTTGACAGTCTATCAAAGAGTGTCAGGCCCACCTGTTTTAGGCAATATATAATTTAATGGATTCTAAAAAAAAAAAAAAATGAACTTCTAAGAACAGAAGACAAAACCTCCTTGTTGAGAATTTTTTTTTAAAGTGCGTAAATGTTATTAAAATTTAATGGCAAGGTGATGTTGGATTGTTCTAGATCTAGTTTTGTGTTTTTTTAAAGTTTCTTTCAAGGTTAAAAAAAAAAAAGTTTCTACCCACCTGAAAAGTAGCTTTACTACAAAAATTCAAAAGCTTGGAGTTAGTGAGAGGAGAGAGAAGAAACTTGAAGAAAGAGTTAAAGGTAACAGAGAAAAAGCCAGGGCTTCTTCTAGACTCTAAGACCGAGTGAAAGAGAATATACTCAAGTTTCAAAAGAAATCTGCACATCAACATGCCATATCCACTGAGAACCCTATCAGAAAACAATCCCAACACAGTCCTTAATTTTCTCATCTGCACCGCCCACCAGCGAGTCCCAGAGAGCTCTCCTGTGAGACCACTGGTTCTGACTGGGCACCGTTCACGTTTGAGGAAATCCCCAGGAACACAGTCCTGGGGCTGTGAAAAAAGTCTCCACACAGACCCCTCTGTGGCGTTCACCAGAGAACACAAAGATTTCACAACTTTCCAGACAGACCAAAATCAAAGAAAATAAGACTCCCGCCAAGCACCTCGGCTCTGCCAAGTCCAAAGTCACAGGCAACGGGTACGTGACTCTCCTCTCCCTGGAACCCCTTGGCTTTCTTTGGAGAAGAGGGCAGGTTTTGAACCCCAGGCGATTTGTTGAAAATAAAACTCACACCACACTGGATTCTGAGAGAAAGGAAAAGTCCCCTATTCCAAAAACGAGTTTGTTTACAAACATGTAAAGGACTCCCTTGATCAAGCTGCAAGACTGCCCCCCTTCCTACAGCAAGAGAGGTGGGGCTTCCTTGAAGACAGGCTATTATAGCTCACACCTCTGCATCCACCAGGTGGGGTGCCCACCATGCTCCCCACACCACACACCCCGCCACTGATGTCTGTTCTCTCTTCTAACCTCCAGGGCATTCAACATCTGGAAAACTCCTATTCAGCCATAATAAATAAAATCTTAAAAAAAAAAAAATCCCAAGTCACCTAGGTGACAAGAGAACCTAACTCACAGGTCACATACCTAACAATAGTCTGGTCCCTTAGGGAGGGGGTGGGTGGTGAAGTCTTTTACTTAC